ACCACTTGGTTCGGTTCTAAGATTTACCAGGTGATTATGAACAAGTTGTGATTTATATGACAGTGATAAATGCAAAACAACCTTACAAAATAAGGATATTTATCATACACTACAGATACTACCAAGTGCAGGGCCAACTTCTGGTATCAGGAGCAGCTTGGTGTGACTTTGCAGTTGCAGTTCCGATTCTGAATCTTGTTAATTCTTTTGTGCCCTTTTATTAATATTATTTCTCTTTCTGGTAGGTAGTCCGTACTTTTTGAAATCTATTTTAAGTTATGCTCGACTTCCACTTTTCTCTGCATTTTGTTTGTATGTTGACTTTTTGTGTTGTTTTATGCCAGAGAACTAAAATAAAATGATGATGATGATGCTTGCTTACATTTTTCTGCTGTCTGACAAAGCGCTGTCTTTTTCATCAGCGGCACTTGAGGTAGTTTCAACTAAAGAGTCTGGGGGCAGATCTGGTTGGATCCCTGACAATCCTTTCTCACTTTCGTCAGATTCACATGTCTCTGTATCAAATGAAGTATCTGGTGACAGATCCTGTGAAATTATAATCCAAAGTTAAATTATGGTACAAGTAATCCTTACCTCACAATTCGATGGTGCTTTTCTGTTGGGCGACAAGAATCTGATATAGGGTCAGGGTATTCATCAGTTGGTCCATCGCCTCCATGAAAATACATGATGGAACGCATTGCTTGTATGAAAATTTATTTCATATAAGAATTAACATATTGAATATATCATAGGTATCGAAAACAATATTTATAAACAATATTTACCTTGGTACACACGAAGGTATTTCTGGTGATTTTTCCTAGATTGAATATACTGCGAGGCCTGTTGCATTCCTTTATCCACCTCATTTCTTTTTGGCAGTCAATATGTGGCTTCGGAAAAGGCACAAATCCTACTCCATTTGAACAGCAGGAGTACCGTACAGGTTGTCAGACCGGCAAATATCATATGCACAGCGTTTACACATAGTTAGTCTACCAAAATAATTCACTAATAGATTCTGTTTAATAAAAATGCAACATCGTATCGAAGACAAATTTTTTTTTTTTCTAAGATACGGTAGGCTACCGGTACCCTTGATTGCATCAGCATGATTGTCTACTATTTTTTGGTTCGAAATAGCAGTTGTGATCTGTACAGTGCCGTAACCTGTGAGGCTATAAGGTGCCTGCAACGGGTACAGCCCTTTAGTATAGTATAGATATATAGATTTCGTGAACGTGATTTGCAACAAGTAACATACAGTATTACAGCTTTCTAATTCTCGCAGCCCTGTAAAGAAAAAAAAGCGAAAAAAAGGACAAATATCTGCCTAAACCGCCAGCAACCTGTGCGGAACGCGTCCAAAGTTGTCTGAGCGACTTTTCAGCGGAGAATGTTTGTTTACATCTGCTCGCTTGTGATTGGTTGAAAATACGGATTTTTTGATGTCGGGGAAAGGTCCATTAGTCGAAAGGGCGGCAGAAGCGGTAAAAGAGGGATGCAGTATTAGATCGGCAGCGAGAACATTTAATGTAGACCGAATGACACTTAAGCGATAAATGGATAAACAAAAACATGACCCGCTTGATATAAGCGGAGCAACGGCGTTTAATCGCCATACAGTGGGACACTTCTACAAAAACCTTGCCAAAGTAATGGACCAACAAAAAATTCGAGGCACAAGACGTATATAACATCGACGAAACAGGGTGCCATACGGTGCAAAATCCTGAGAGCATTGTTACGGAAAAAGGGGTTGAGCAGATTGGTTCTGTCACATCAGGTGAAAGAGGTGAGTTGGTAACCGTAGTCAATGCAATCAACGCTGCTGGTGGATTTATTCCGCCCTACATGATATTTCCCCGTGTCAATTATCGTAAAAACTTCATACGAGGTGCGCCACTGGGATCAGACGGTGCGGCCACCAGATCAGGTTGGATTAACGAGGAAACGTTTGTCAACTATCTCGATCACTTCATTAAGCATACACGCTGTAAACCCGACAGAAAGGTATTGTAGACAATCACGAGGCCCACGTTTCACTGACAGCTGTTGACAAGGCAAATGCGAACGGAGTTGTGGTGTTGACCATCCCACACACGTCCCACAAACTCCAGCCTTTAGACAAGACTGTTTATGGACCATACAAAAGAGCCTACGCGCGCACGATGGATAATTGGATGAGGTCCAATCCGGGTAAGACAGTGTCTATATACGATATAGCTCATTTGGTGAACGAAGCTCACATCTGCGCATTTGTACCGCGTAATATCCTAGCTGGCTTCCACAGCACTGGTATTATACCTTTCAACAGCGACATATTCTCAGATGAAGACTATGTGCCATCTTCAGTTACAGATCGCGAAAATCCAGTTTGCTCGGCAGTAGACAATGTTGAAAGCGTGTAAGGTTTACAGAGGAATCCCGATACTCCCACGAACCAAAGAGATAACACAATTCAATCAGCATACTGGTTTGACTAGAGCAGTGCAGACTACCAACGCGGAGGCTCATTATATGTTTCCAAGTGATATACTACCTTTATTGAAAGCAGGGCCAAGGAAAGTGAAAGCTTCCAATAGGAAAAAAGGTAGCACGAAAATTTTGACAGACACGCCAGTTAGAGATGAAATAGCAGCGAAATCAGTGGCTAGGATAGAAAAAAAATAGAGCAAAGAACTTCGGTCGGTCTGGATATAGCACTTCTTCGAGCGAAAGTGAATCTAACGAGAATGTATTGTGCGACGATACTGATGACTCAGGGGAGGAAGATCAAAATATTATCGAGAGCGATTTTGTCATAGTCAAGATTAGTGGAAAATCTCGAATTGTTCATTACGTCGCAAGAGTTGATGCTTTCGAAGGAGAAGAGTTTGAAGAAGTGTTTCTCCGCCGGGTTTTAAGCGTAAATGACAGAACTACTTTTATTCTGGATGTCGAAGATGAAGCACTTTGGTCGAAGAGAGACATTGCAAGAAAGTTGCCAATCCCTAGCATTATTGGAACTTCTCGTCGCACCCAGTTCACGTTCTCTTGTGACCTCGATGAATGGAATCTTTGATTTTCACATACTCTGTCACACGCTATTTCAATTCATGAATAAATGTTTCTTTTCAATTTCTAGGTGCTACCAAGGTGTAATAAGAAGGCGTCGGTGGTATAATTCGTTTCCATTCTGTATTGACTGACAAGAATAAATACGATTATAGATGCATTGACTCCTATTTAAGATTGGCTAAGTTAAATTTGCCCAGTTGCCTCACGGTTCCGATACAGAAGTATTTGCATCTCACATTTTGAAAGATACTCTCCCGATTGCAACTTAAAAACGCTACTTCCCGTGTCATTCTGCATGTAGCGGCTCAACTCTCATCAATGGTATGCACAACTCTCCTCAACATGCAGGAGACTTGTGACATCTGACATCCCTTTTTAAAACTGGTATAACTCAGAAACAGGGTCAGTTGGATTAAAAGAGACATAACTGTAATATAGCAGAGGTAATGACCTTCGGATGATATGAGCGTCTTCAAATTGCTACGAACGATTGAGGAGATATAACTAAATATATAAAAAATGGCTCATCTCTCCCGCATCTCGCCTAAGTTTACATACTCCATCCAGTAAATAACCATTTCCGCATGTAACTGTCATCGATTTGCCTACTTTGTAATGCTTTTTCAACCTGTAATCGGACAATCTCTAGGACATTTCTCACTTTTTATATAAACATTTTTTACTTTACCTCCCCTTTCCAAAGAAACAAGAGTGACAAGCTGAATCCAAACCAGACACGAGTTGTCGATCGTGCAAGTCATAACACAGCTGGAATTTCACTATGATATGACGTCATATGTTTTCTGTTATTTACGCCAAATACACTATTTATGTATCTTCAGAAACGTTATTTCGGTCTCTTTATGTTAGTTCATTCGAGGGAGTGATAACTGGCTTTGTTTCGTGGGCAAAATAAAAATTTGGTAAAAAATATTTAGAGCAAATTTTTTTTTATTCTGCATCACTATATATACAAAGATGTTATAGCAACGATTTGTTTACTTTTCTGAAATGCGTTTTATCTGCCCTTTCAAACAAATCTTCAGTGATCAGTGATATTTTGAATCGAAATAAGATGGGATATTATAGTTTCTTCAAAAGATGCAGAGACTGTCGGCTCTCCGTTTTTTTTCTAAAACTGTGACGTCATAAACGTATTCTCAGCTTTCAATGTGTCTTGAATGACTGAATGAACCAGTTGGTCGTTACAATATCTCCTTCGTTGAGATTATACACTTGAAAGCAATAATTCCTATGTGGAATGGTCAATATAGGGTTCTATACATAGTGTTTCGCCAACCACCACAATTTATAACATCAACAATCTTTTCCTATTTCTGTGACGTATTCTCTCGTTCAGATGAAGCAATATTCTATTATTACTAGACCATACATTCGGAAGGCGTAAAATAATCATTACCAAGAAGTTACGATCAGCGATCAGGCATGCCCAGCCAGGACAATTTTTGCGGATGATGGGTCAAGCGTCGAGACGGGCCATTTTGGCTTGCATTGGGACCTTAGAAAGGGGCCTAGAGGCATGTAATTAATAATCTAGACTCTAGAGTCAAATCATGACCCACGTGACACAGGTGGGGGGGGGGAGCAAAATATAGGTGGGCCGATTCAATTGGGTTCGTAATTGCCGCCACGTATTCTTGGTGGTCTGCACACGAAAGTTACATCTGAACGTCAAGGGTAAATCTTATGCCAGATCATGTTCTGTTTTTATCAAATTAGACATATGTCATTCTTCAAACTTCGGTTGTGCTACATTGCGGCCATATTCACGATTATCAAATATTATCCATTAAACCCTTATAGCCTTAATAATATATTTCAGACTAATTTGTTTGTTGGAGGATATTTCCTCTGCTGTCAGGGGACGACGAATATCACTATAGCGCCTGCACCGATTGCCAGTCTGTCAGACACACTTAACGAGGCTATGTCTTTATTATCAGCTTACGATACAGTACAACTATACAATCGCAATACAATAGAATGATCCAGTCGGATCCGAAAGAATAAAAATCAGTGATATTGAGTAACTTATATACTAATTACCAATAGATGAAAATCTACTAATCAAGTATGGAACAAAGATAGATTATGATGGTTATGACGGTTTATAATTTTAAGAAATCTGACTTGACTGGATTTACGACGATTCATATTAATAATTTTGAAAATAACAGTAAAATCTTACTAAAATAACAAGATTACATCGCGGCTATGTATATGGAATATACAAACAAAAAACTATATGCAATGCTAAAAATAATCGTTACGATTGAACAAGATTATATGTGGTACAATTAAAAATATGGGACTTGAAAATAGAAGGAAGAGGGAGAGTTAGGTAGAATTAAGAAAACAATAGGCGTATTCTTATTTTGAAATTTTCTATTGACAGCTGAAACAATTTTTCAATCTAACATACTTCATAACACCCAATAACTTTTATGTTCGCTTGTTCCCTTGTGAGCTTTAAAAAAAGAGAGCGCTTTGCTTTGTATTTGATTAAATATATTCGTATCTAACGATTAATTCGTATTTAACGAATATATTTGCGAGCACAAAGTGTGATTCGTCCGAATCATCTTCCTAAAAGTGTATTAGTGGTCTGAAATCTATTCGTTTGAGGTTTGTAATATGCGTCAATTTTAATTATCATTCAATTCCGTAAAATTCATTTAAAGTTTAACACTTATTTTCGTTGCACAACCCAATAAACATTAAAAGTCTTATTTTCAATGATTTCATAATAATTGGAAGCCTAATTTTTTGAACGCCATAGAATATAGAGAAAGATTTACCTCAAAGAATAGAAGGAGATTGTTCCAGAAAAACAAAACCTGTACACAAATGTAAAATAAAACAACATGATAATTAATAACGTCCCTTTCTAAACATTTGTCGATAATTTCTCGTTTCCGTTTTATTGCAATCAGCAATAACGCGCGATTTTTATTACATCACAGTTCGTCGCTTTTAAATAGTTCATTGTGATCCATCGTTAATACTATTAATTGTCAGTTTGTTTTATTTTCACCTCGGAATACATTATATATATAGTATTCGGTAAATAGTTCATTTGGCCAGTTCTTAGTTTCGTCCAATATTCATAGTTTGATCGTTTCCTAATCATCATCGTTGTTCTGTTGTAATTGAAGTACTTTGTTGCAGTTACATCTTTCTCTGTCGTCGATTAGCAGCATAATCAACTAGGAAAAAATTAACGAAAAATTTTAGCTATAGGCCCCACGACTAAATTACTAAATTAGGAATAATCGTGATTTTAACTTAACTTTTGTTTTGGTCTTTGCAAAGTTGTTGTTAGAATAAAAATCAGTAATATTGAGTAACTTATATACTAATTACCAATAGATGAAAGTGTACTAATCAAGTATGGAACATAGACAAATTATTTTAAAACTGGTTTGTCGTTAAGAAATGGCTTGGGACTACTTAAATCAATTATGTCCAGTAATAAAGCAGGTTATGACAGTTTTTAATTTTAAGAAATCTGACTTGACTGGTTTTACGACGATTCAAGTTATTAATTAAAAAATAACAGTGAAATCTTACTAAAATAACAAGATTATCCCTATACCTTAATCAGTGCTGATACCTGTACTTACATTTACATGTAGGAGCACGAGTCCAAATGTTGTTTCCTAAACAAGTTCTTGTATCGGATCCAGAAATTTTGTAGTAATTATCGCATTCGTATTTGATAGATTGTCCCTTCTTATAGGATAGGCTATCAATTCCAACCACAGAAGCCCGGCGAACTTTCTTTGGTTTTAGGCATGAGTTATCTATAAAAGAAACCAAATTGGAGTGTTTTAAAATATAAAAAATGACCTTATATATTTTTTCGAAAAAATCTGTTTCCGAAACATGATATTTCATCGTAGTAGCCTAATTGTCCTACTTTTACATATACACTGATAAACAAGGACTCGTATACTCACCGCACATTTGTATTTTATCAAAACAGCAGGGTAATCTCCCTCCGCATGTTGCATGGCAGTAACAGCCAACTGGATACCTGTAATCCATAACTGTTGGCATCACCATGCACAGACCAAAGCATGAGCCTATAATATGTATAAAAGTTTTAATTAACACAATGATGCACTCATAGCCTACTATGTAAAATGCAATTCCTCGCATTTCTCACTGTAGCATGATTTAAACTTTAAATACGATCACTCTTACCTGCGGATGTTGGAGTTATGAACATCACGGCAGTTACTATCATGGTGCAAAACGCAATTTTGAAAAGCGCATTCATTGTGGCCGTATTTTTTCAAAACAGTACTTCAATCAAGAGCAATGTTTTTGATGCCCATTTATACTTTTTGCTCTAGTTTGTATATTTCCACATTGCTTCCGCAACAGATTTATCTTGGGTTGTCGATCGTTTTCGTACGTGTCGAATAATTTGTTGAATACGTGCATAAACCAATGATCTCCATCGAAACCAATTGTAAAATTTTTGCGAATTTCATATTTATCAAAGTTCTATAATCGAGATATCATGAATCAGATATTTCATACAACACACTTTCGAAAACAATTTATTTTGATGAGTCTACAATATTCGTCACGAAACACTGAAAGGTAATTTAAGTTGCGAGATTTCAAAAGTGATCTTGCTGACAGTTTTCAATATAAAGGGGGTAAGCTGTATCCGGAACGCCATTCCGGTTGTTAAATATTTTATTGCACTTGCGTTCCTGTTGTTAAAATAATAGCTATTAAATGTACGTTTTGTTACGTCATTATTATTTTACATCGCATCAGACAAATAACTATGAACTAGTACAGCCGTAATGTGGAATGGATGTTTCCCGGCCTTTGACCCCAGGAAAATTCTCCCCATACCTCACCATTATAATATTTCTCCTTGGTAGTTCGAATATCAATAAGAACATTGCAAGTTCTTTTTAACTTGAAAATAACATTTTTAATGAATTGCTATAAATATACTTTCATTTTATACAGACATATTTCAAATAGTTTCTTGTAGCTCTCCAGCTCTATCTTAAAACAAACAAAAATTTCTGTAAAAAAGCATTGTAAATATACTACATTTTTACAAATTAGGTGCGTTCCGGTTGTTACGATTTTTTCAACTTATCACCGAATATAATATCAAAACTATATTCCAGGGCTAAATTACAATTACTCAAATATATAGATAGTAATCGGCTTCCGGCCATAATTTTACACATTTGTAGGGCCAACACAATATTTCCTGTCATTATGTTCAAATCATCATTGATAAAATAGAGGGTACACATTACATTTGATTAATATTTTTTTTTCTTAAGCATAAGTCACTGACTATTGAATTTTGAGAGAGTTGTATGTAATATGTAATATGTTGGGAATCAAAATTTCTATGAATTTCATTGCCAGCAAATTTTACCAGTTATTGTTCTTTTTATAAGAATATGCTGTATATAAAATCGTGTATAACTCCAATTTGTTTATTGTCATTACCACTCATTTCGCTTGATTGGATGATTGACAGATTTGTCGATATATCTTGGTTGTCAATACTAGAGATGTACCGATGTATCAGTATCGGGTATCGGTAGTGTATCGGTATCGGCTAAGTTCAGACCAATATTTCCGATATATTTAGCTTCTCAATATGATTCAAAATGTTTTAAAAAATAGGTTAGAATACTAATCTTGAAATTATTTTTTGTTTGGATAGATCGTGATCTATGAGCCATTGCACGTTCCTACACCCGCTGACCTGTTTTAAGCCATTCATCAGTCAAACTGGGTCAATTAATTTGAGTATTCTCGCTGCCGAATTTTTATATTAAAATTTTTAATATTACATGGTAATTATGAAGAATTATATCAATCGAATATTAGTGGATGTTCCGATGTGTAAAATTTAAAATACGACGTTATATTGGCACAAAATCCTACGTACGTTACTCAATGTATCAGTTTCATACGATAAGTAGGCTAAACATTTATTTATTTACCACCAACAGTAGCCAAATCCTACTAGTTTTCTAATAAAGCACCGAGATTACTAGCGCCAGTGCTCAATGCATCTGGATCAATTAACGCATTTGGATCCCAAACATCTACTTCTCAATATGTGATATTACTCTTTTTTGATCCGAAATGATGTGCACTATTAATAATGCTCAAAGGCTATTGTTTTAAACCGTCTGCCCAGCACAATTGAGGTAATAATTACATACTATCGGAATATCGGCGTATCGGTATCGTTTTTTTTAGCTGATATCGGATCGGTATCGGCGACAAAAGTGGTATCGGTACATCTCTAGTCAATACCGGCATCTTCATAAATAAAAAGCATTAGAATTCGTGCTGGTAACACGGCACTGACAAAAACATTTTACAGAACCATACAAATTAGGTCAAAATTAGTCCTATATTTGGCCTATGGCAACTAATATATAATATATTCAAGGCCTGCACAATTTGAATGAACGAAAGAGCCGAAACATACAAAAACAATTGTTACGGGCCACACCTTATCATTATTATTGTAGAACTTATATCATGTCATATTTTTCGTAATGTCGCGTATGAACAGTGTAACACGTGATAAATTCGACGCAACAAGCCTTCAATAAGATAAGTTGCATTTTTTTCATAGGTAAGTGTCAAGATTTATTCCATAAATAGGAGAGAAATTGTATGTGTAATAGAATATGCTGTAAAGTTTTGGTGTACCGCACAATGCATTCTGCGGCCGCCTTTCGCCCATACACTTCCGACGGTGAACCGACGTACAAATATTTTTGTCAATGCAATACAATAAATTCACGAAAGTCGGGAAATCCATTCAATTTATTCAACAACATGAATTCTACATTTCTGAAGATTTGAATATCAAAGTCTGTATCGCAGAATATAGATTAAGAACATCAAAACAAAACAAATATACAAAATGTCTAGATCTAGAAAACTATCCAGAGGTTAGCTGTTAGCAAAACATTGCTGTCATGCTTAGCCGCATGTAAGCATTACAAAAGTTAATGTGATTTGTGAAAATGGAGCAGTAATTACAGTACTATCAGCGCAAAATGCACGTTCGACGTTCATTTTAGCACAAGGAACGTACACAGTTTCACCAAAAGCACGCGCCAAGAGTGCATCCTTCGCAGAAAATGTTGCGTACCGATAGAGAACTTAAGCCTATTATATCATAGCTATTCCTAGAATATTTTTGGATTACTGTATTACTATCCAGGTCCAGGTATTGAATGGTAACTGTAAGACTGTAATGAAACATCGCGCCATTACAAAACCCGACGCAGTGATTCCCGTGTCCACTAGAGAAATGTTGGAGTCGGCATGGCCCAAGATATATACAGTATATACACTTTTTTGGATCCTATTTATATTTTTTTTTCTAATTTTCGAATTCATTCTTCATTGACCCGATTATTCAAAAACATTGAAGGATGACATTATTTATCAGTGATGTTAATTTATTAATCAGTAATTTATCAGTAATGAAGAGGTATTTTACGATGCAATTTTGAAAAGCGCACTCATTGTAGCCGTATTCTTCAAAACAGTACTTCAATCAAGAGCAATGTTTTTGATGCCCATTTATACTTTTTGCTCTAGTTTGTATATTTCCAAATTGCTTCCGCAACAGACATATCTTAGGTTGTCGATCGTTTTCATATGTGTCGAATAATTTGTTGGATACGTACATAAACCAATGATCTCCATCGAAACCCATTGTAAAATTTTTGCGAATCTCATATGTATCAAAATCCAATAATCGAGATATCATGAATCAGATATTTCATACAACACACTTTCGAAAACAATTTATTTTGATGAGTCTACAATATTCGTCACGAAACACTGAAAGGTAATTTAAGTTGTGAGATTTCAAAAGTGATCTTGCTGACAGTTTTCAATATAAAGGGGGTAAGCTGTATCCGGAACGCCATTCCGGTTGTTAAATATTTTATTGCACTTGCGTTCCTGTTGTTAAAATAATAGCTATTAAATGTACGTTTTGTTACGTCATTATTATTTTACATCGCATCAGACAAATAACTATAAACTAGTACAGCCGCAATGTGGAATAGATGTTTCCCGGCCTTTGACTCCAGGAAAATTCTCCCCATACCTCACCATTATAATATTTCTCCTTGGTAGTTCGAATATCAATAAGAACATTGCAAGTTATTTTTAACTTGAAAATAACATTTTTAATGAATTGCTATAAATATACTTGTCATTTTATACAGACATATTTCAAATAGTTTCTTGTAGCTCTCCAGCTCTATCTTAAAACAAACAAAAATTTCTGTAAAAAAGCATTGTAAATATACTACATTTTTACAAATTAGGTGCGTTCCGGTTGTTACGATTTTTTCAACTTATCACCGAATATAATATCAAAACTATATTCCAGGGCTAAATTACAATTGCTCAAATATTTAGATAGTAAGCGGCTCCCGGCCATAATTTCATACATTTGTAGGGCCAACACAATATTTCCTGTCATTATGTTCAAACCATCATTGATAAAATAGAGGGTACACATTATATTTGATTAATATTTTTTTTCTTAAGCATGAGTCACTGACTATTGAATTTTGAGAGAGCTGATACTTTTGTGATAATTAGTTGATATGTTAGGAATCAAAATTTTTATGAATTTCATTGACAGCAAATTTTACCAGTTATTGTTTTTTTTATAAGAATATGCTGTATATAAAATCGTGTATAACTCCAATTTGTTTATTGTCATTACCACTCATTTCGCTTGATTGGATGATTGACAGATTTGTCGATATCTCTTGGTTGTCAATACCGCCATCTTCATAAATAAAAAGTGTTAGAATTTGTGCTGGTAACATGGCAACCATACAAATTAAGTCAAAATTAGTCCTATATTTGGCCTATGGCAACAAATATATAACATACATTCAAGGCCTGCACAAGTTGAATGAACGAAAGAGCCGCAACATACAAAGACAATTGTTCACGGGCCATAACTTCTCATTATTACCGTATAACTTATATCATGTCATATTTTTCGTAATGCCGCGTATGAACAGTGTAACACGTGATAAAATCGATGCAACAAGCCTTCAATAAGATAAGTTGCATCTTTTTCATTGATAAGTGTCAAGAATTATTCCATGAATAGGGGAGAAATTGTATGTGTAATAGAATATGCTGTAAAGTTTTGGTGTACCGCACATTGCATTCTGCGGCCGCCTTTCGCCCATACACTGCCGACGGTGAACCGACGTACAAATATTTTTGTCAATGCAATACAATAAATTCGCGAAAGTCGGGAAATCCATTCAATTTATTCAACAACATAAATTTCACATTTCTGAAGATTTGAATATCAAAGTCTGTATCGCAGAATATACATTGAGAGCATCAAAACAAAACAAATATACAAAATGTCTAGATCTAGAAAACTATCC